ATTTCATCCCACATACTCTTCCTTTAAAATGATTTTGACACATTTCCTTCCAGAGGTAGGGATCCAAGTTCCCTCTTATTGCATCTGGATAGATCTGTGATGGGCTGGAATTGATGCTGTGGGACTCCCAGTGCTAGCTCACAAGAGCTCCCAACAGCTTTCTCTGGGAACGTTTGTCCTCAGAGCCCAGCCCACCATGCTGCAAGAAAGCCCAGGCAAGGCCACAGGGACAGACCCTGTAGAGAGGAGCTGAGGTCTCCAGCCCACAGCCAGCAGATGATTTCCTGCCCCCAGCCTTAGAGTTTTCCAGCTGGATCTCCAGAAATCAGGACAAGCTGTATTCTGCCCAAATTCCTAACCAAGTCTGTGACAGAAAAAATGACAATTGTGTAAGTTAAGCCATTAACTTTTAATATGATTTTGTATCTTAAAATATCTAAAAATAAAATCTCTTTAAAAAAAAGCTGAAGAGAAGGAGAACACTGTTATCTCACATCTGATGGCAGGAAATTTAGATATATTTAGATACATGAGTGTACTCATGTGAAAAGTGGAAAATGTACCTAATGAATTTGGGGATTCAGTCAAGGACATGTCCAGGCAAGGTTGTGAAGGTGTCACCCGGCTTCTCCCAGACGCCTATGGTAACAGGAGAAATGAGAGCGATACACTAAAGAAAGGATTGTTCGTTATAAAGGAACCATGACCTGCTGGATATTCAGTCATAAAACTGTCCCTGGTTGCCAGCCTCTCCAGATGACAGGCAACATTACAATTAAGAAAAGGCTTCTGGGAAAACATCAGGAAAACATGATCTAAAGATGAAGCCAAGGATGCACCTGTAAAACCTTTGGTCAGGTCCCAGAAAGATGTCAGGCGGCATCTCAGCCAACTTGGGAGGTAGGGGGCACTCAGACTCCGGCCCTGGCTTCTAGCCACACTACTGTGTGGCACCCACACAAGCGATTGGTCAGAGTTCTGCAAAAATGACATATAATTTATCGTATATGTTTTATTTTATATATATGTATATATAAAATAAAACCCATGTAGTAATTGTTTGAATTACCCCTTTATTTTGGGGGTAATTTGTTATGCAGCCTAGTAGCTGGGGCAACGATAATGGCAAATATAATATTGCAACTGAAGGAAAAAGAGAAAAACGGGAAGAAAAGAAATGTAAATAATGGTGTTCAAATGTTAAACCAGACTTTGAGATGTTGCATACACCTGTATTTGCCAGTCTATGTTGTATTCTATTCCAGGGTCAACAAAGTACTCCACTGGCCAAATCCCACACACTGCCCATTTTTGCATGGCCTGTGAGCTAAAATATTGCATTTTAAGATGTTTGAAAATATTGAAAGACTATTTTGTGAGCTGTGAAAATTATATGAAATTCTAATTTTGGTGTCATAAATAAAGTACTGGAAGAACACAGCCACGTTTATTTGCATCTCTGATCTCTATGACTGTTTCTGAGCTACAGTGGAGGAGCTGAGAAGTTTGACTGAGACTACAGGCCCGGAAAGTCTCAAATATTTATCTTTACCGGCCCTTTACTGGAAGAGTTTGCTAACTCTTGCTCCAATCTGTTTTTCTGTGTTTTTATTCTGAATGCACTGATAACTTTGGGTTCTTTGTTGTTCTTTAGAAGGAAGCTTAGAGCTTCTATTTCTTTTCAGATGTTTATTGCTCATGTCCTATCCAGGCTTCTTGGGCTAATGGTTTCTCTCTATTCTAGATTAGTTGCTGCTTATGAAGAAGCATGAACTGGGGTGGGGCGGGGGTGGTGTGTAATCTCTGGGAGCTAGAGATTTGTGGAAGACAGATCTAGCCACCTTTCTCCCACCAGCCTTGCACTGGAGGTTCCATCACCTTCTCAGCACTAGGGTACACTTCATTCCCTTTCTGTACCCTACCTCCAGATTTCCCAGACAGGTGGGCTTGGTGAACCAAATGTATTCTTCTGTCCTGACTCTTCCTGGAACCAGCATAAAATTCCTGGCTTTTTTGCCAGGAAACTTCCCTCCCATGCCCTTTGGACTCATTTCCAGTTTAATTCTGTTGATTGTTTGTAGTGAAGATCCTTGGTGAAGGGAGGAGTGCATTTAATTATATTCTGGAATAAGCTTACCTCTCTGTGGACCAATCAATAATGGTTCCTGATTGGCACATCACTGGTATTAGAAGAGCATTCCAGCACTGAAGTGTAGGGCAGGATTGTGCATTTTAAAAAGAGAATTCATTCTACCAGTATAATCAAAATGAGACTTCCAAAACATTATTTATATAGATCATAGAGTCTCAAAGAGAAGCAGAGGTGATTACCCCTCCAGCAGGACTAAGGGAGTCAGGAAATATCCCTACATTGCAGCCATAGTTGCTGGCCCTTTGGAATGAACTGAGCTATTGCCTGAAACCAGAAGCTCCACTACATTTTCTCCAGAACCAGACACCTCCTCAGCCTTATCTGGCAGAGAGCTGCCTTTCACATACCAGTCTCACTGGGATGCATCTACTGGGAAGAACCTATACTTCATGACTTCTTCCTCACTGCATGTCAGTTAGTGGCAAACATACTCATATTCCTCCTGGCAATAGCTGTACCCCCATTGTGGGATGATAAAAATTGTTTAGAAATAAATATTACTTATCAGCTGCTCAAGCTTCAACCTACCCCATTATCCAAAGTTCATACAAGATGGAAGTTCAAGACTCAACCAACTCTACACAAACCCTATCGCTACAGTGCAACAGCAGTGTGTTGATCATTCTCCATTTGCCCATCCAGACACGTTCTCTGCCCTGCTTTTCTGCCCTGCATCAGTCGGGCTCTCTTGCCTCCCAGCTCCTGTCTGGATTCGGCAATGGAAGACGCTGGCAGATGGGAGATGGCAAGAAGAGTGAGGTAGAGGTCTCAGATGTCCCCTCTTGAACATAGCCCAAAATTTGGAGATCAATCCAATGCGTGTTCTGAAAACCTTTGCTAAAACAAATACCAATGAGGCAAAGATTTCCTGCCTTAGAAGGAGATGGAAATTAGTGACAATAAACAGTAGGGAAAAGTTAATTGTCTAGGTTAGCATCACAGAGTCAAAGGCTGGTCCTACATTTACTGAATTCTGAATCATTTGACTCCTCAAATCACATTCATCCTCAGTAAAGCTAAGCCAAATACAAAGAAAATTAGTCTAGTATCATTTTATAATGCATGGTATTCTGTATAGACATGTAGTGCCTTAGTGTGGTGTCTGTAAGTGGAAAACTGGACCAAAATTCAGAGTCACAACCAGAGACTCAGGCCTGGGAGAGGAGTGGTTTGGGGTGTCTTTGGGACTATTGCCTACAGATTTGGTGATTTGGCATGGGGCAAGGTCACAGGTGGGAGCAGTTGCCTATCCTCTCTTAATTCCCATCCTTCCTGTCTCCCTCCCAACTGTATTCTCTTCTTCATTTCTGGTGCTCTCATCACCCCTTCCCTCTTTTTAAAGACTGTTCATTCATGCTTATGAAGAGGCCATGCCTCATTTAATCAGAACCTGGAGGTCAGCCCTGGCTTCCTGCCTCTGAGGTCCCATGTATGAGTTCCATGCAAGGTTCTACTGACTTCTGGAGGTTGAAGTTGGGAGAAAGCGAACTAGCTACCTGAGCTGCTACCCTTCCAGAACTGTGGGTCTTTGCAGGCCCTCGCAGAACTGCAAAAGCATTTGCAATGTAGCTGTATTTGTAGGTAAAATAGTTTGCCAAATGAGCCTGACGCGGTAGAGATTTGAATGCATGCCAGACAGTCTCTTAACTACTGAGAGCTCCATAAGCCAGAGAGGTATGCTCCACAGTGTAAGGATTGCTCACGTGCTAGGAAATTCTAGATTGAATGAGTGCACTGGAGGATCAGAAGCCTTTGTCTCTGCAGACAGGGGAAGAAAGAGAGCCCAGCGAGATCATTTAGGATCGTGAAAACATAAAACACACACACAAAGTCCAAATGATTCCTCTGAACCTAACAGACCTGTATTTCACAGAGGTCATACATTTCTTTAGGTGCTAGAAACAGGAGGTGAACACCATACCTAAATATGGGATGAAATCTGAAAAAAATCTGCAAATCACAGGCTTGTTGAAACTTCATAATCCTCCTTGGGCCTGCAATCCCCCTCTTTGAAACTGGGGTGATAAGCAGTCTCAGTCGATAGGGTCCCTGATGCAAGGAGGTTTTGGATTTTGGAGAATCCTAACACACTGGCTCCTCCAGGCTGCAGCAGGCCCATTTTTAATCCTAAGAAGTTCAGGAAAACTCTGATGAATAAGTGATAAGATTATCACTTATAAGATCCACTGCCCTCACTCTCAACAGATAAGATTCACTGCCCTCACTCTCAACCTCAATATGACAACTCCTTGTTTTGCTTAGTTTTCCTATCAGGTGCGTTTGTGACACTCCGGGTCACAAGGGCATCATCATGCCTGTGTGTGACCACGGTTGTTTGACCCAGTGGGTCCCTCTGCCCAGCTAGCCGCCTGCCACTGCAGGGTCGCACCGCCTCTCCTCTGCAGCACCCGGAGCCGAATCCAGAGTTGGGGCAGACGCGCAGTAGACTCCCCACTTCCCACCCCGTGAATATTATTTTTCTGAGTCGTTTTAATCAGTGGCTTGTATTCGCCAGCAGTCGAGGTGTTAGGGTTTGTATTTAAGATAGCTACTGTTTCTACAGAAGCCGGCACCCCAGCCGTGGAGGTAGGAAGGAGAGCGATTCGGCTGCAACTGCGCTGCCTGGGGTCGGCAGACCTGCCCTTTCCTGAGGTTTCCTTCCTCATCCCGCCTCCCTACTTTGTGGGGTCGCTTGTCGGGGCCGAGTCCCCGGGCAGCCTTTTTGATGTTAAAACTGTGACGGGGGAAATCGAAAAGGATGGAAAATCAGATTCTCAGAAACAAAAACAGAAAACTGAATATTTGTATAATCAGCTTTATGACAAGGAGTTACAGCCCGATCCACCGAGGCTCCGTAGCTCAGGGGTTAGAGCACTGGTCTCGTAAACCAGGGGTCGTGAGTTCGAATCTCACTGGGGCCTCCTACTCTCGGCCTTTTTCCCCCCTATATTTGGTAAAAGGAATCTTGCCTTGACACCAAAACCTGAAACTAGAAACGAATCTACCAAATCTACCTTCTGCGCTCTCAGAAAATTACTGCTAATATAACTGAAATTTGTCATAAAACATGGGAATAGAGCTGCTATACCCTCTTTAAATTATTGGTGAAACATGAAATTCAGGTGTAGGAAACCTTGAAGAGCCACCAATACAACAATTAACGTCAATATAAGCCAGGAGATAAGCTAATTTGTATTGAGTCGCCATTAGTTTAGTCACTGTAGGCCTAAAGAAATTATAATTATTGATTTTATCACACTTACCTAGTGGACTCTAAACTCCCGCACACCCAAGAATCCTATCTTACTTGCTATTGTATCTCAGAGCCTTGCAAAGACTAGGGTCTGTGCTCAGTGAAGGTTTGTTGAACAAAGCCCAGCTAAAGAAATGTAACCAGAGTGTGGTGAGTATATAATATAATATAATATAATATAATATAATATAATATAATATAATATAATATAATATAATATAATAATATGCCAGGATTTTTCTTTCCCAGTTCAGAATAGCATCTGTTCAAAAGTTGCTCTCTGAACAGGGAGCTGCATGATGCAGCTGGGCTTCAGAGTGCTCTGATAATCTCCTAAAGACAACAGGCTAGTGGAGCAGGAGGTGATGAGAAAAATCTCTGGCCAGAATAAGGACTAAAATTGCATGACAACTAAGCATCACACATAATCCTGGGCCAGACACTTTTTTTTTCTTCTTTTTTCTTTTTTGCTTCAACAGACATTACTAAATTGGGATAAATTTAAATAAGACTTGTAAGTAAGATAATAGCATTGTATCAACTTTAATGTTCTGCTTTTATTATATAATTGTGTTATGGTTAGGTAAGAGAATTTCTTTCTTCCAAGAAATATACACTGTTTGAAATATTTATGGGTAAAGGAAAAATCATGTCTGCAGCTTCCTCTCAGGTAGTTTGAGATAGAAATAAAATAATAATTATGCTACATATGCATACACACATTCACACATATATATCAAGATGGAGAAAATTATAAAGCAAATATGATAAACAGATAACATTTGGTGACTCTGGATGAAGAGTAGTTGGAAATCTTTGTTTGCAAATACAGTTTGCAAACATCAATCTAATCCAAAATTATTTTAAAAAGAATTTTATTAAAGGATACCTTGTAATGATCCTGAACTCTTCTTTCATGCTCAATTCATCAACTTCAAAATTTTCTACTTCAAAATCAAACCACTTGCCACCACCCTCCCCACCCCACCCCCATCACTCTGGTTCAGGCCACTATCATTTTCATTTGGGTGATTTCAGTGCCTCCTGACCCATCTCTCTCCCTCTGCTCTTGCCCGTCCTCACCTCCCTCCAGTGGAGCAATTAGAGTTACGCTAATGAAGCATGAGGGATCGTGTCATCCACTCATTCACCTGCTCAAACCATCCAATAACAAACTCCATTGGAGTAAAAATCAAAGTCCTTGCTACAATCATGATGACCACTATTAATCAAACTGGGACTCTTGTGAGCATGAAAACAGCATCATTAATCATCACATGAGAACGATAGGCACCCCGATTACAGAATCCAGTATAGTCTACATTGCTTCTCTGCTCTCGTATTGCTTTCCCCTGATTCTGCTGCTGCAGTCTTAGCATCCTTACTGCTCCACTTGGAGCAAACCAACAGTCTTCTATTTCAGAGTGCTTATAGGGGTTACATCCCCACCTGGTATGCTCAGACTACAAATTTCCTTTAGTGCATGTTTTCATTTCTTTGAAGTCTGCACTCTCCACTTTTCTCAGGGATGTCTTCTTTGGCTATTCCATCTAATATTTCATTATCCTCCAACATTAATGTCTCTCTTCTCTGCTTACTATTAACACTTATATACTTACCAAAATATAATAGAACATATGTTTTAGTGATTTATCTCCTATAGCGTCTGTGTTCCATATTAGAGTATAGGAGAGCTGAGCACAGGTATTTTTGTTTGTTGGATATGATCATATATCCATAGCTTCTACAGTAATGTCCAGCACCTATTAAGCAATTGGTAAATATTTCCAGAATGAATTAAAGAATGTATATTATTTTAATTTAAGAAATGTTAAATTTAATGAATGCTTAGGAAATATAAATGAATTAGATGAAAAAAATGCAGCACACTGGGCAAATTAGACACCTGTTTTGATATAAAATGTCTCATTAACGTGACTTGTTTTGGAGGAATGGCTATTACTTTTGTTGTCACGTTTATTTTTAGGTGTGATATTTTTCTTTATTGCTAAGAAAGAGTGGAAAAGGGAGGGAAAGACAGAGAGAGAGGCATTCCATTGATGATGGCAGTGAGTGGCAAATATCTCAAGCATCCATTGGATAGACAGTCCTGATAAGCAAACTGTGTTTTCCCCGTACATGTATCTGGATATCCTACTACCCATCTCCCCTTCCTGGTGCCTGAGGTCAAATCTAAAAACTGTGACTTTGATGATTCTCTGATTTCTAGATTCCATCTTCACAATAAACTCTTACTCTTACTCATGGAGCTGAAGAAAAATGAAATATAAAAACTAATAGATTGAAAGGAACATGACTTCCATAGATGGAATAGACACATGTCTCCTTATTCCTTCCACAAAGTACAGCTACAAATCTTAGGCATTACATGTGAGACAAAATGTAAGAAGACTCTGAAAGGTGTGCAAAAGACAGAAGATCAAGAGACCTTGCGACCCAAAGAATGACATAGTGATGAACTCCCTGGGTTTTCTTTATGGGTTTCATTTTAGTACCAGATTGGGTACTATAGAGGTCTGCTGTGTAAAGTTTTACATATAATACAATATTTTATATATATAGTTGACCCTGTACATGTGGGAGGTTAGGGCACCGATCCCCATGTAGTCAAAAAAATATGTAACTTTTGAATACCCCAAAACTTAACTACTAATACCCTACTGTTGACCAGAAGCCTTACCTATAACATAAACGGTCTGAACCAGGAGAGCTAGGTTCTTGTCTCAGAGAGTTGAAGAATGAATCTCGCAGACAAAGGAGAGTGAGTAAAGTGATAGAAGTTTATTAAGTGAGGATACAGAGAAAGCTCTTAGAAGTGAGAGGGGTCCCCACGGGGTTGCCAGCATGGGTCCCCACTGATTTTTTATTTAGAACTGACCAGGGAGCCTGTGGCCTTATCATTCTTGTGATGTCCTGATTTGAGTAAGGCCAGGTGATACTGATGAGGGAACAGAGGACTAGCTGAGGATAAAGCACAATGACAAGTCCTTGAGACAGGGAAAGGGACATTCCTCTGTGGACTCAACATCCTCAATGTTCATACTTTGCTAAGGGCAAAGGCAATTTTAGCCCAACCCCCAGGAGCCTGTTAAGTCTACTTTAATATATAAAAATTCCTTTAGAAATTTCTTTTATCTCTAAACTCCCAAACTACGTGTTGGCAATCATCCCCCAAGCACATGGCCCACTGATACACATCTGAAGGGTCTCACGACTTAGTTGTTTTTTTTTTAAGATTTTATTTATTTATTCATGAGAGAGAGAGAGAAGCAGAGAGACAGGCAGAGGGAGAAGCAGGCTCCATGCAGGGAGCCCGACGTGGGACTGGATCCCAGGTCTCCAGGATCATGCACTGGGCCGAACGCAGGCACTAAACCGTTAAGCCACCCAGGGATCCCCATGACTTAGGTTTTATTAGATAGAAACAAGTGACCTTTCCCCAACAAAGCTAGCCCCCTCAAGGTCCTGGAAACCTTGCTACCAAAATTCCTTAGAGAGCACGCTCTCCTCAAAGCCCTCCCAACTCCCAGGTATTTAATCTGCCACCCGTCACAGGCCCCAGGCAGGAGCTCTTCCTGTGTCCAGGTCCTGTACCCATGCTTTAATAAAACCATCATTTTTGCACCAAAGACATCTCAAGAATTCTTTCTTGGTCGTTGGCTCAGGGCCTCACCTATATTCCAAAACTTCATCAATACCATCCTTAATGGCTTCCTTTTCCTTTGTTGGTCACAGGCAACTGTCATAAAAAACATCTTTCCTACCCATACCGAGGGCAGGGTGGCCCGGTTTGTTCCCTTATCTCTTGTTTCCTGACATCTCAGAATTTTTGGGACTTTGTTTTGTGAGCCTGATTCCATGCCCCCCTACCTACCTCTCCCTACCTAGCCCTCCCTGTCCCTTACTCAAGTGAATTGACACCTATTTTGTATACTGTACTCTTAAAGTAAGCTAGAGAAATTTTATTAAGAAAATCGCAGGAGTGCCTGACAGTTTCCGGCAGTAGAGCATGCAACTCTTAATCTTGGGGCTGTGAATTCAACTCCCATGTTGGGCATAGAGATTATCTAATTATCTAAAAAAGAAGGAGGAGGAGGAGGGGAAGGGGAAGGGGAAGGGGAAGGAGAAGGAAGAGTACTAAGCCTGGATGGCTCAGTGGTTGAGCATCTGCCTTCAGCTCAGGGCATGATTCTGGGGTCCTGGGATTGAGTCCTGCATCGCACTCCCCACAGGGAGCCTGCTTCTCCCTCTGCCTATGTCTCTGCCTCTCTATCTCTCTGTGTCTCTCATGAATAAATAAATAAAATTTTTTTTAAAAAGAAGAAAGAAAGAAATCACAAGGAAGACACAATACGTTTACAATATTGTGCTGTATTTATTGAAAAATATCTGCATATACGTGGATCCATGCAATTTAGACCCATGTTGTTCAAGGATCAATTGTATATACATATTAGCCTCTGTCGCTGGTTCCTGGTGCAAAAATCCTAAAACCCTTGTAGTCATAAGAGCACTAGGAGTGTCTTTTGCCCTCATATTTGGTCTTTGACTCCGGTTTCTGGCACAAAGCTCTTAAGTCCCCTGGAACTTCTTCGGTGACAGGAATGTCTTTTGTTCTAATGGGGTGGGCTCCTGGGTGGGGGCTAG